GCCATGGTGAGAACCGGGAGGCGGCGGCGCCGCTTTCGCTTTCACTTCCCGGAGCGGAGCGGCGGGGTGGGGGGCGGCCGGGACCGGGCTGTGCCCGGCTCGGGCCCCTTAGTGCCCGTGGTCGCGGAGGGAACGGGGGGGCTCCGGTGTCCCCGGAACGTCTGGGTGCTCCCGGTGACCTTGGGGGGAACTGAGGYGGAGGGTGTGGCGTTGGGGACCGGGGAGGGGTTGAGGTCGGTGTCCCCCCGGTGCTCGGGGACCMTCCTGGCTCCCGGCACATCCAGGGCCGGCAGCCGGTTCCCGGTTCAGAACTCCCGTGGGAGCCCTTGCTGGCCCGGCCCCACGTCCCCACAGGGCTCTGGCCCTCGGCCCCACAGCACGTGTGTGTCCCTGTCCCCCCGGTGTCCCCATCCCCACCGTGCCGGGTGTCCCCTCCGGGTGATCCTGATGTGGCCCTGTCACATTCCACCCTGCCCAGGCCCCATGTCCCTGTGCCCACAACCCCCCCATGTCCCCACAGCCCCCAGGTGCCCCCTCCCCACAGCCCTCACTGCTCCCTGTCCCCACGTGCCCTACGTGGCCCAGACCTCTGGGCTCTATCTCCGTGTCCCATCCCTGCTGGGATGCCACTGTCCCCCTGGTCCCCATGTGCCCAGACAGACCTTATGTGCCCTGTGCGCCCCTGTCCCCATGTGCTCTGTGCTCAGGGTCCCCCTTTGCCTGGCCTCATGTCCCGATCCCTGCTGTCCCCATGTACCCGCTATAGCCCTGTGCCCCACGGAGCCGTGTCCCCATGTCCCCCCGTCCCCGCGCTGCGGTGCTGTCGCGCAGGCCGGGCTGCAGCGGTGCCAGGACGAGGCGGAGGCCGTGGTGCAGCTCATGCAGCAGAACCTGGGCAAGGCGCTGGAGCGCGAGGGCAAGCTCAGCGAGCTGGACGACCGCGCCACCGAGCTGCGCGCCATGGTGGGACACGGCGGGGACACGGCGGGGACGCGGCGGGGGCACCGCGGGGACGCCCGGCTCTGCTCGCCGTGGGGCTGGCGTCCTGCGTGGTCGACACGGGGGCTGCGCGGGGACACGTGTCCCTGCTGGGCGCCCTGGGGCCGCGTGTCCGTGGGCACCGCGCTGCAGGAGCTCCCGGTGCCCGCGGTGGCACCGCTGCCCTCTCCCCGCAGGGCCAGACGTTCACGCGGACGACCCGGGCGGCGGTGCAGAAGAGCCGGAACGGGCGGCGCCGCCGGCGCCTGCTGCTCGCCGTGGCGCTGCTCATCGGCCTCGTCGTCCTCATCCTCATCGTGGCACTGGTGCTGGCGTTGCGGGGAAGCAGAGCAACCCCCCCAGCACCCCCCGCTGTCACCCCCGGCATGGACTGAGCGCTCCCCCGGGGATGGGCCTTCCCCGTGACCAGCTCCCGGTCTCTGCTCCGGGGACGTGCGTGTGAGCGGGGCCGCTCCGGCAAGAAGCCACCCCCGGGAGCCGCTGGGGAGAGCGGCGGTGGCAGCAGGAGCCGCGCTGGGGACGCCGGGGCCGAGAGGCGGCAGCGYGAGCCGCTCCAGCGGGCAGAGGGGAAGCAGCGCGGCCCGCTTTGGGGTGACGCCGCGAGGACAAAGGACCCGGGGAAGGGGGTGACCCTGCTCGTCCTCGGCTACATCCCCACTGGGGAGCGCCGAGCGTCCCGGGGACCGTCACGCGCCCGGCCGCGCCGCGACCAGAATAAACCCGAGACACTCGATGCTGCGGCGTGTCCCTGCTGCGGGGCACGGGCCGGTGCCGGTGCCGGCCGCCGCTTTATTGCGTGCGCGCGGGCGGCACGCGGCGCTTGCGCAGCTCGTCGCGCACGCGCTGGCAGAGCGCGCGGCGCAGCGCGGGCTCCAGCGGGCTGCGGGCGCACACGCGCTGCGTCACCTCCTCGGCGCTGTCCGCCTGCCGGGGCGCCCGTCAGTGCCGCCCGCTGCCCCACGGCGGCCCCACGGCGGCCCCGCGGGCGCCCCGGCCGCTCACCTGGTGCACGACCACGGCCGTGACGCTCCCGTCGTCGCCCTCGTACTCGAGGCAGAAGAGCCGGGGCCCGCGGGCGTCCCCGCCGCCGGGGCTCCGCGATGGCCCCCCTGCCGYCACCGCCGCCCTCAGCGGCGCCTCCGGCGGCCCCGGTGCCCCCCGGGGCTCGAACGGGCGCCCCCACCAATGGGGCGCCCCCAACTCCACTGCCCCTTTGGGTGCCCCTCATGCCCCCAAGGGACCCCCCCATGCGCCCCTGCCCTCCTTCGGGTCCCCCCCATACCCTGATCCACCCCCCAGTGCCCCCCAAGACCCAAATAGGTGCCCCCATCAACCCAATGGGGCGCCCCCAACTCCACTGCCCCCTTGGGTGCCCC